AATTTAAAAAGATGTTTAGCTACAATGTTGCCAAATGAACAAGATGCTTCGAGCAGAAAAAACGAAAGCGTTTTCGATATTGTCATTGTTGGAGGTGGAATTACAGGAAGCAGCTTAGCGTGCACTTTGGGTAGGCAATTCTATATATTGTGATGAAACTCAAACATGCCTTAATCTTTATACCTTTTGCATCGTTTTTAGTATCATCCGATATAACACAATCCCAACGTGTTGCCCTTGTCGAATTCAGTGATGTATCTCATCTAAAAGAATGGAAACCACCAAAAAATGAATTTTCGAATCGTGTTAGTTCTTTAACCCCTCGATCTTTAGAGTTTTTTAGGGGTAAGTGCATATGTTCTTTGTCAAGTAAGTCCAATTTGTAATACTAATATCGCAACTTTGTATTAAAAAGACATAAGAGTATGGGAAAAAATGATCCAAGAACGCATCAAACCATTCAACGACATGCAAGTATGGGACGGTATTACTGATGCTAGAATAGCATTTAATTGGAAAGATCGCAACACTTTTCGTCCGGAAAACATTGCGTGGATTGCAGAAAATTATAATATTCAACAAGCGATTCTCACCCAGCTTTCACTCAAAGGCAACAGCAATTTCAAATTTTTTGAAAATAAAAAAGTTGAAAAGATTACTTTAAATGATAAATTTGAAAATATTAATGATGAATTTGATTTGTCGGACTGGCCAAGCGTAAAATTAAGTGATGGAGAAGTTTTGAAATCTAGATTGTTGGTAAGTATTTTTTAGCGAACCTCTTATGTAAATATTTTGTTGTTCTAATCACTAAATAATGTCATAGGTCGGAGCTGATGGACTTAACTCAGTTGTTCGTTCCTTCACCAACATTGAATCATTAGGTTGGGATTATAACGCACATGCAATCGTGGCTACTTTGCACGTAGATCCTCTTATCGAAAATGCAACTGCATGGCAAAGATTTCTACCAACGGGTTCGGTTGCAATGTTGCCGGTATGAATCACGAATGCAATTGCCAATCGATACATTGAGATATTTATTTGATCATTTAATCATAAGATACAAAACGGAATTTCCTCTATGGTTTGGTCCGTGAATTCTAGTCTTTCTTCTAAAATATTGTCACTTCAGGAAAGAGATTTTGTTCACCTAGTGAATGCAGCGTTTCGGCTTCGTGTTGCCAATCTAGAATATTTTTATTCTCAGTTGGAAAATGATAGTTTTAATATTGGTGATGAGTTTGAGTGGAGACACAACGTCGAATCTAGAGAAGCAAAATCTAGATTACCGCCACTTGTTTTGGGTGTTCAGAAGAAAAGCCGCGCCATGTTTCCATTACGGATGAGAAACTCTGAAAGTTATGTTAAAGAGCGAGTTGTGCTCGTAGGGTGATTAGATTTCCATATTGTAGATTTTTTTTTTTTTTTTTAAAAAAAGAAACTGTTAAAAATTTTCTATAAATATTAGGGATGCTGCGCATACAATTCATCCTCTTGCTGGGCAGGGGTTAAATCAAGGATTAGAAGATGTGCAATGCTTGGCAAAAGTAATTGAACATGGAATAATTACTGGTCAAGACATAGGTATAGTTCATAGCAAATTATTCCACATTCTTCTATCAATAATTAACACTCCATAAATTAATTTTAAAATAAAAGGAAATTTACGGTTACTTAAAGATTATTCATCTGCAAGATATTTCTCTAATGTATTAATGCTTGGAGCTGTCGACAAATTGCACAAGTTGTTTGGAACAAAATTGGCACCCATAGTTCTGGCCAGGTCACTGGGATTGCGAATTGTTAATAATATTGAACCCCTTAAGGTTTGTTTACTTGTCTTGTTATGTAAACGGGTTTGATTCCTACAAATTTAACAAACTAACTTTATTTTAGTCTGAAATAATGAAATTTGCCATGGGAATTGAATAATCATCCAACATTATAAAAAAAGATTATACAATAATTGATATTACTAACATAGAGTTTGTTTGGATAGTTAATGAATAACAAACAATTGACCCGAGTTAATACAGAGTAGGTCACGCAGTTACTAATAAATTCAAACATCGTGATCCTGATGATGACATTTTTAAGGAGCATTGTGTTGAACATACAATATCCTTCAAATTTCTATTTTAAGATTAAGCGGACTAAATATCTTATGACGATTGAACATACTGATTATGTAATGATAAAAACATTAATGATTAAGTTGGAGCGGTAAATTACTTCTAGCCAAACAGCATTATGAATAAAACATAATTCACATATTATTTAATGATCATAAACGGAATAATGAATAAGACGGATAACCTTTGTCAGCTTTATTAACGTCACGAAAATGGTGGATTTAATATCGTAGTTATTGGGAAGGGTAATCTTAGAACTTTTTAAAAAAAATTTTTTTTATTTGCAATCTAAAATAAAATTTTGCTATTTTCAATAAGAATACATAATTGAATATTTGTCTAAGCAAAGATATATTATTAATATAAAAATTTTGATTAAAAATTTTTAATAAAACTTTTTATAAAAATTTTTTGTTCATAAATTATTTAAATTAAATAAAACTTTATAAATAATTTTTTTATTTAATAAATTTTTTATTTAATGATTTTTTATTTTGGATAATTTTTTATTTAATAATTTTTTATTTTGATAATTTTTTATATTTTTATTTTATTATATTATTATATATTTTCAAAGTTTAATTTAAACGTTTTAATTACAGTTTTTCCTAAAAACTCTTTCCGCTGATCCTAAATTTCCTAAAAAATTTCCTTTTTTGGCAATTTTCTTGGAAAAACCAGAAGC